CAGATGCTGTCACCTTCCTTCACATCAGGCTCTTCCGGTACTGACTGTGCGTGGTGGTCTGTCTAAGGTGGGAGTCTGGGCTCTGCAGGTCCATCTGTCTGTACAGGTCTCTCAGCTCCCTGACCTCCTGCAGCACCCTCTTTGCCTGGCTCCAATTTGATGAGGCCTCTCCCAGCAGCCGCTCTGTCTCCTGCAGCAGCTGCTCTGACTCAGAATCAGGCGGAGACTGAGGGGGGTCCTTGGCCTTTCGTTTCCCGTCTCCTAGTCCCTGAACCTCTGCCAGCAGCTCCTGAGTCTTCTCCAGTTTCCTTGCTACTAGGTCTTGGATCCGGGACAGCTGCCCTGGGTGGGGTAGGATAGGGCTGGTGGGCTCCTCAGCCCGCAGGTGGAAGGTGTGGGCTGGGGCAGAGTCCCGCTGAGACAGAATCTCCTCCAGGGAGGCACAGCGGCCTTTCTCTGTTGGGGTCAACTTCTTGGGTGCCTGGGGGGTATAAGTGGCCCCCTTGTCTGGCTTTTCCCAAGGCCGGGGAAGGCTGCTTGCCCGATCTGAGGAGGGCTGGATATGGTCTGAGTCTGCTCTCCGTCGGCTGTTGGCCAGCTGGGCCACAGACTTGTCCAGGTCAACCCGAAAACTCTCAGCACAAGAGGTTGGTTCCTCAGGGGAAGGGTCTTCCTCTTGAATCAGGTCCAAGGTCAGCATTCCATCCGAGGTAGAAGTAGAAGCCTGGAAAGTAAAGTGGGGGAACAAAGGAGGTAAACTGTCTGAAAGACAGATGTAGGCTGCTATTCTCCCCAACATGAATGAGAAGGCCTCTACTCTTGACTGAGCCCTGTTACTTCACCAGCTACTTCATACTCCTTTGATAGTGATTCAAACTTAACTTTTTTTCTGTGATTTAATTTCTCCTGCTTGTCTCCCATATTCTCCACTTTATTACACGTTTTCTGGGGAGTGTTTCCTTCCTCTGTACGGAGCATCACGCTGACTTCAACACCTCAGATACTCCCCCCAGCACAGTGACTGTCCTCTTCTGCCTGTATCTTCTGAGCCACATCCCTCAACCTTTCTGTTGTCTGGAACTTAGAATATCTGGCCTCATAATAAAATTTGTTCTTTTTTTCTTGAGACAAGAGTTTCACTTGGTAGCTGTTGGTAGAGTACTGTGGAGTCATAGCTCACAGCAACCTCAAACTCATGGGCTCAAGCGATTCTCTCGCCTCAGCCTCCCAAGTAGCTGGGCATCCGATAGGTGCCTGCCACAACACCTGGCTTTTTTTAGAAAGGAAGTCTCACTCTTGCTCAGGCTGGTCTCCAACCTGTGAGTTCAGGCAATCTACCCTGCCTTGGCCTCCTAGAGTGCTAGGATTACAGGCGTGAGCCACTGTGCCTGGCCCAAAACTTGTTCTCTTATTTCCAGAATACTTTTTTTTTGAGACGGAGTCTTACTCAGTTGCCCTGGGTAGAGTGCCATGGCTTCAGCCTACCTCACAGCAACCTAAAACTCCTGAATTCAACTGATCCTCCTGCCTCAGTCTCCTGAAAAGCTGGAACTATAGGGACCTGCCAAAACAACAGGCTAGTTTTTCTATCTTTAGTAGAGATGGAGTGTCACTCTTGCTCAGGCTGGTTTTGACTTTTTTTGTTATGTTTTTTTGTTTTTATTTATTTTTTGAGACAGTCTCAAGCTGTGGCCCTGAGTAGAGTGCTGTGACATCACAGCTCACAGCAACATCAAACTCTTGGGCTTAAATGATTCTCTAGCCTCAGCCTCCCAAGTAGCTGGGACTACAGGTGCTCGCCACAATGCCTGATTATTTTTGTTGTTGTCGTTGCAGTTGTCATTGTTTAGTTGGCCCAGGGTGGTTTTGAACCTGCCAGCCCCAGTGTATGTGGCTGGTGCCATAACCGCTGTGCTATAGGTACTGCCTGGTCTTGACTTCTGAGCTTAAGGGATCCACGCACCTCGGCCTCCCAGAGTGCTGAGATTATAGGCATGACCCATTGCACCCAATACAGAATGCTACTATTTTTTTTTTTTTTTTTAGACGGAGCCTCAAGCTATCCCCCTGGGTAGAGTGCTGTGGCTTCACAGCTCACAGCAACCTCCAACTCCTGGGCTCAAGCGAGTCTCCTGCCTCAGCCTCCCAAGTAGCTGGGACCATAGGCGCCCGCCACAACGCCCGGCTATTTTTTGGTTGCAGCCGTCATTGTTGTTTGGCGGGTCCAGGCTGGATTCGAACCCGCCACCTTAGGTGTATGTGGCTGGTGCCTTAGCCATTTGAGCCACAGGTGCTGAGCCAGAATGCTACTATTTTTAAAAAGTGATATGGCAGGTCAATATCTCATATCTTGTTTCAATCATTTTTTTTTAACCGCAACTCGTCAAGGCAGGCATGAGCACAGCCCCATTTTATAGTTGGAGACAAGCAGCTCCAGGGAACCACATGGGCAGTTAGTTGCACCAGAAGGTTCCAATTCAGAAGCTGTCTGACTCTAAAGCCTATCTTCTTTCCACTATACCTGATGGCCTCTCTCCTTAATGGCTTAAAGCTTGGTGGAATAAGAGAAACCACAACTTTGTATGTTATAGGGGTTCACTGTGACCCTTCCTCCTCTGAATGCCTATGGTACCCGGGGCTGTTGGCCATGAGGATAATAGGCCACCACAGCCTGTATCGTGTTAGAAGGTACTCAATTCTTCTGATTTCATCTTCCTGTGAGTAGTAACTTATTTCTTCCCAGATGATAAAATTATTAAGAACAGGAATTTCTGAACTTGTAATAGATGCTGAATTAATATTTTTCATTTAGATCAGGCAGGCATAGCAGTAGAAGGACTTTGCTTGACTTTGATCTTGGCTTTGAGGGAACTTCCCACAATCACCTCTGGTGGTATAAAGTTCTGTCTGAGGTGGACTGACAAGAACTGGCTCTTTAGCAATTTTTTACTTTATTATAGTTTTACATACCACAGCCATTAGATGTCCCCTAGTTGGGGGGCGGCGGGAATGCTGGATTTTTGCCCTGTCTCGAGTGGGGTGAGCAAGATAGCTGTCCTCCTCAACGGTGACCTGAAGAGACACACTGAGTTATGGGTGCTCTTCAGAGACCCTCTGCCCCAACTTTGCAGCCCCCAAGGCCTGAATATGCCTTGACTGGGAAATAAACCCAACCCATTAATGGCTTCTGAGCAAATCCATGGACAAAGGGATTTAAAGGACATGAAGGGACTGGTAAAGCTGACCCAACACTGCTCATGGACTATGAAGCAGGAAGAAGAGTTGTCAGAAAAGACAGAGAGATGGCAGGAGAACAGGGTTTTTTTGTTTGTTTGTTTTTGCAGTTTTTGGCTGGGGCTGGGTTTGAACCCACCACGTCTGGCATATGGGGCTAGTGCCCTACTTCTTTGAGCCACAGGTGCCACCCTGGAGAACAGGGTTTTAAAAAGAAAGATAAAGAAGTAGAGCTGGTGGGGCATATGAGTAAGTGGGGCTAGCACAGTAATGTTCCCTCCTTGGCACATCACACCCACTCCCTCTGCCCAGCACCCATCTCCCCACAATGAGCCCGACCTCGTCCAAGATACGATTCTTTGCTCGGGTGATAGCAGAGTTGAGGGCACTGATCCAGGATTCCTTCTCTTCCGGACTCACTGCCAGGAAGATTAGGTTGGGGGCCTGTGAAGAGAAGATTCTTGTTTCAGCCAGGGTTTTAGAGTTGGTAGCTCACCTTGACAGTGAAGAAATAAGAAATAATAATCTCATTTTTTCAGATCTAACTCCTGGAAGGATAGAGATTCTGCTTCTAGAGTCATCCATAACTTCAGGAAACTCAGCCTCTATTTATGCAAAATGCATAGCTCAAAGGTTGTTTTAGAAATGACTAAGGCAGAGCTAAAAAGGGTAGTGGTATTGGAAATAAGTAGAGGAAGTCTGATAAAGGATAGTATTAAAATAAAAATCTTTAAACGTTTAAAGAAATAGAATGTGACAAGAATAGTTTCTCTGGGTTCCCTTAGATAAGAGGAATTAGATTTAGAACATCAACCAGCTGGGCGTGGTGGCTCACATCTGTAATCCTAGCACTCTGGGAGGCCAAGGCAGGTGGATTGCCCTGAGCTCACAGATTCAAGACCTGAGCAAGAGTGAGACCCCATTTCTAAAAATAGCCAGGCATCTGTAGTCCCAGCTACTTGGGAGGCTGAGGAAAGAGAATCACTTGAGCCCAAGAGTTTGAGGCTGCTGTGAGCTATGATGCTACAGCACTCTACCGAGGGTGACAAAGTGAGACTCAGTCTCAAAAAAAAGGGGACATCAACCAGCTATCAGGGTACAGGGACCACTTTCTCCCGAGTGATGTGTGTGTGAGAGACACAGAGAAAGAGAAACAGAGATACAGACAAACAGACAGACTTGATCTTTGTGGTTGAACAGTTAAAGGCTGACCTGCCTAGAAGGAAGAAAATGGCCACAAAATTCTCAGGTTAACTATAAAGCCAGCAGGAGAGCAATTCTGCAGCCAAGACTGTTGAGAGAACCTGGAGGAAGTTCTCCCAGTCCCCTCCAACCCTGTCAATGTTCCAGTGGCCAAGATGGCAGGAGAGACATACCGTGTTACCCGGCTGTTTGGAGTGGGCAAGAGTAAACTTGCTGTGATTTTTCTTGCTTCTGCTCTTGGATTTCCGGAGCTCTTCACACTTCTCATAGTCACTCAGGTCAAATACCTCTTGAATATTTTTCTCATCTTTTACCTAGGGGAGGGTTGGGGGTAAGATCAGGAGGATAAAATCACCTCCTCCCCAATCATCTTGGGAAATAGAAGAAGTCTGAGGAGAGGGAGGGACCACAGGACAAGACAGGGCCCTCTGACCCGAAGCCTATAAAGGCCTGACAATGGTGACAAGACTAGAGCAGAGCCCATGACCTGACTCTTCAGGTGAGTTCTGTGTAAACCCCTTATCCCCATTCTCCTCAGTCAAGCTACCATTTGCTGACTCCTAGTATGCCTCTCTTCACTCATGAGCTGCACTCTGTTCCTAAAGGACATCGCTTATGTCCTAAAAAGGCTCACGTCCATAAAGGGACATGGTGAACAGTTTTATCTGATCATCCTGAAGCAAGAAAGACCTGAATACCCTTGATGGTGGGAGGAAGAAGACAAAGGCAAGGCCAGGATCAGGGGACATTTGGAAGGAGTGAAGTGTTGCCTCTGGCCCCCCAGTCACTTGCAGTTCCCACCCCACCTTACTCTCCAAGTTACTGTAACAATCCAACCTAACTCCTCCAGACATAAAAAGCCATATAGTTTATTTACCTATCTCTAGGCAAAGATACACTTATACTCTCACTGGACAACTAAAACGTCAGACTTGGAAGCTTAGTCTTCCAGAGAGTGTTCTGTCACCTGTCCATTATTTCGGTTTGTGTGCCTGAGTCCTCTTGTTGCCAGAAAGCCCTTTCTGCTGTGGTATCTGTCTTATGCTCTGGACCTTTAGCAGCTCTAGACAACATCTGGCTCTTGATACTTTTGCTGAATGTTTAATCAGACAATTCTCACTGTATCATCCAACCTCAACCAGACTTTTCTGAGCATCAGAAAACAAACTGCATTAACATTTCTTCAAATTTCCATTCTAAATCTCTCAGAACTTTTTTCCTTTCCCCTAAGTTAGTATTCCCTGTAGCCAGACTTAGTGACTGGCCCTGCTGGAGTGGCCCAGTCACTCTCTGCTACTTGAGTCTGTGGCCAAAAGACCAGAGCAATGGACAAGTTTTCCTGGGATAAGAAATGAAAACCACCACCACTTATCTTATTAAAACTAACAAGTAACAGTAGCCTCAAGTCTTCCCTGAAAGACATCTACCCCCCCGACTGGAATTATTTCCCATAGGAGTCCCTGCTTCCCAAGCTCTGAAATAGGAACTGTATGCCTGGATGACCTCCTCTATCCTAGTTCTTGTCAGGCTTGAAGTGGGGTAGTGGTTCTCTCTTTTATTCCCTAGCCTCCTACCTGCCCAACCTCCAGAACTGCTGCTGTGCCCTGTGGCTGATGACAGACAAGACAGCCCATCAGGATCAAGATCTTATAGCCTCACTCAGGTGCCTGAATACTCAGCCATCTATATTTGTTTCAGCAAGGCTTGGTCCCTCCAGGCTCCCTTCACCCTGCCCCAGGGCTCCTTGGCTTTGGGCTGGGAAGTGACCAAAGGCCTGTTAAAATTATGAGTGCAAGTGAGATAAGGTGCTGGCAAGGGGCATCCAAGAACAATTCCCAGAAACATGGGGCAGGGATGTAGGATGATGCATCATCTCTCTTCTCCCCCTCCTTCCCCGGAGTGGAGGCTATCAGCAGAGTCCAGAAACCTTGGAAAGGAAAGTGCTGGGTGTGTGAATGTAGCCAGGGGAAGAGAGTTACTTGTTCCATTTTCCTTAGGGGAAGGGAAGGGAGTTATTCTAGCTTGGACACATGCTGATAAGGAGCCCTCAGGAGAAGAGATATTGACAGAGGTTAGCCCTTGATAGGGTGGGGGCAGGAGATGGGATGAGGCAAACAATAGGACAAGTATATTCTAGAGCTCAGAGAAGACAGACAATCCCAGAAGCCTCCTTCTCCACTGTATTGTTTTCTTTCTAATTCCCAAAGTTTCATTTATAATTACCCATCTTCCAAATCATCTTTCCTTTCCTGATTCTTTACCCTTGCCCACAGAAAGGGATTTTTCTTACACTTGTTTGCCAAAGGAGTTGCCCTAAATCCAATTTCTTCTACCTTGAGGTCTCCCTACGGTCTGGCTTCTGTTTCCATCAAGCCCATGATTGTAAGGCACTCTATCTACCCTTTCTGAGAAAGGATGACCTTTGAGAATGAGTAAAAGGATTAATAAATATAGAAGGAATTCCATGGTGGAGGCAGCTGTGGGAGACTCTGCCTTTTTGAGAGGAACAAAAAACGATTGGTGTTAAGTTAGGAGTTTTCTTGGATTGACAGTAAATTACAAACATTATGCTCTGCCATTTTTTCTTTTTAAATTTTGAATCTAGTGGCTCTGAAGCTTTGGGGACGTGGGCAGAATGAAGCCTAGAGTCCTTGTCAGTGTCACCTTTAACCCATGCCTGTTATAGCAAGGAAACTGGTTCTAGAGGAACAGCAATCCGCTTAGTCCTCTTTTCCTATGCCCCTCATAGGAGGAGGTAGTTGGCTCTGTGACCAGTCAGATGCTCCTGACTCACGGGACACTCACCATCCTAGGCTGAGGTCATTCCATCCTTTCCTCTGCCTCTATACCCCTTCCTCCACAAGACATACTCTTTTGCCCCTGGACTCTGCTCTTTGAGCAAATACAAACAAGAAAAAAAGTAGCCCATCTACCCTTTCACTGTTCTTGTTCTTCCCTTTGATGTGTAAGAAGTTCTCCCTGATTGCTTACTATGGTTTCCTGCAATTATGAAGTTTAGGAAAGACAGGAGATATACTTTGACACTTGCTATTTGTTTTTTTAAACTAGACAGCCAGAAAATTCTGGAGAAAACTTTCTGTGAGATTTGTGATTGAGTAGAGGAAACCCTTAAAAATAAGTTCTCCCATTTAAGTTTTCTCTCTCCTCTTTCCTAAGATTCTCCAATACTGAGTTCCTAGCCTAGTGTAAACAGCTAGGTTTCCTTAAGAGGATTGGCTGTGGCACAGCTGAGCTCTTCCCTACTTGCCTCAGTAGATGTTCTTTTCAGAATGAATACTTTCTCTTAGGCTGCGTGTGTATCTGTTTCAGCCCATAAAAGGATTTATTTACCTAACTATAATCTACTGAGTAAGAGTGTCTACTGCAGAAAGGAGAAGAGGTTAAAACTCAGGGAAGACTTCCCAGTTACCCTGGGTAAGGGAACTCGGAATCCGGTGCTACCTTAACCAGAGCACAGGACAGTCTCCCAGCCTATACCAACACAGTTACAGGGGACACAGTCACAGGAGTAGGGACTGAAATAATTTCTAATCCATGGAGGGGCAATTCCAATTTCTCAATGTTACTATTTGTTACTGACCCCAAGAGTTAGGGAAAAAAAAGAAGAAGAGTGTGAATTCAATGATCCTAGTGCAGACTCTGGCCCAGTGAGGACTGCAGTTTTCACAGTTAACTACAGAGCCAATGCTACCTGGAGATAGGCAGGGGCTCATAATTCTATTGCTCCCTTCTGATATAAACAGGTGGAGGGGGAACAAGAGTTCACTGCCTTTGTAAAAAAGTGCAGTCAGGGTGGGGAACACAGCATGCTGGTTAGGGACACTAGCTTCCACAAAAATAACTATGTGCTGCTCATAGCTACTCTCCCCGAGGTCACAGGAGATTGACCCTGGGTTGTATGTGTGTTTTCCATGATTCAGGGCGGATGCACGGCCAATATGACCTGTGCATGTCCTGCTACACACAGGAAAGGGGAGGCTAGCTGGATCGAGGTGGGGGCAGGAAGGGTGGAGAACAAGCTGAATGAGAGTGTTTCAGCCACAACAGCAATGAAAAAAAAAATCCTACATCTGGAGACCAGGATAGGATAGGAGGCAGCAAGGGATACTCAGAAGTTCTAGGACCTCTTGGGAGGGGATTATCATTGTTGTCAGAAAGGTATTTGCAAAGAAAAAATAATGGATACCAGGCAAACTCAACTTCTCATTCTCACTCAGGTCTTCGCACTACCGAGTGACCTTTCTCTGCGGAGAAGGGGGGTAGAGACCAATGGCACCGCTGAACTTGGTTCTGGAGCAAAACAGGGGATGGATCTGGACAAACCCCCCATGCAGTGAGCAAGTACGGAATGCAAGAAAAGCGGGGTAGCTGGAGGCAAAGGGCACCTACCTCCTTATCGGAGATGTAGAGCTGATCCCCTTTCAGCACCACATAGCGGTTTTTCCAAATCTCCCTGAAAATCCCTTTCCCGCAGAATTTCCGGACCCAGCCGACCTTCTCGGGCGGTGCGGACTGATGATTTCCATCCTGAGGCCCCTGCCCCAGGAGCAAGAGAAGAGCCAGACGATTAGGTGATTACAGCTCTCTCCTCTCCACTCCGTCTCTCGGCTCCTCCGTTCCCCTCTCGCCTCCGAAGGCTGGAGTATGTGAGCCAAGGTTCGCTCCCCACTTCTAAAAACGTTTCCACTCTGGGGACTCTACCCGTCGCGCCCCTCCCCCTCTCCGGAATAAACAGTGGTGAGGGAGAAAGGGGCTCCGCGGGCTCCCCCTCCCCCCGCGGGCCGGCACCCCCGTTTTATTTCTCATTGTCTCCCCGCCGCCGCGGACGCCGCCGGCCGCTCGGAGGAAGGGAGGGTGTGGGTCCGGCAGAAACTAAGCCAAGCGAGAGAGCCCCCCTCGCAAGTACGCAGACAAAAGCCCCCGCCGCTGCCTCGTCGCGGGTCGCGGGGCCCGGCGCGCCAGGGCCGAGCACACCGGCAGCGGGGCGGGCGGGCCCCGGGCTCGCGCAGGCCGCTCGTAGCCCCGACGGGGCCGGGGGCGTCGGAGCGCGGAGTCGGCGAGGCGCACTCACCCTCTTGGCCGAATTGTTCTTCTTCATCATGCCGGGTGGGCGCGAGGCAGCTGGGCGAGGGGCGGCCCCGCGTCGAGGCCGAGGCCGCTTCGAGGGGGCTCCTTGGCGGTAGGAGAGTGCCGGAGATGCCGGGGCGCCGCCGCCGCTCCTCCTCCCTGCCTCCCGCCCGCCCTCTCCCGGACGCTCCCCGGCTCTGAGGCTCCGGTTACACTAGAGGCCGGCCTCCCTCGCACTCGCACACTCGCGCACTCCCGGCCCCCGCCCCCCGGCGCCCTCCATCCTGGCGCCCACGCGGCCCGGGCCCCCGAGCGCGCCCCCGTCGCCCGCCAGCCCGGCCCGGCGCGGCCGCTCCCCCGGCCCGGCGCCCCGCGGGCGGCCCAGCCCGCACCCCGCAGCTCCATCCGCGGCCCGCTGACGTTGCCCGTTCAGAATAAAGGGCGAATCGCGGCGCCGCAGCCCGTGCGCTCCCCGCCCCCCGCCTTTGTCTCTGACTCAACGCGGGTGAGGACAGCCGGCGAGACCCTGCGGGGGGACGGCTTCCCGGGGGCGGCGACCCGCGCCGGGACCGACAGCCTGGGCGCAGGGGGAAGCCAGCCCGCCAGCGCGGCCCGACCTGCCGGGAGACCCCTGGAGCAGGCGGGGTGGATGATGGAGAGACACGCGGACCCGTGAGGACCGGAGACGACCAAGATCGGAATCATCTCCCTTCCTCACCAAAGGCGCAAACAAGAGCGTGAGGTGGGAGGGCGCGCCACCCAGACCTGGCGGCAGGCATTCGCGCTTCCTGGGTGGTAGTAACCTGGGCAGGTCAAATAGTGGGAAAAAGTTTTATGTTTCAGAGAGTGCCGGCGCCTCGGAGGTGGGGGTGGGAGAGGAGTTAATGTTAATACACATTTCTTCCAGTTTACAAAGGGTCAGGCCTTGTTGAGCCTCAGGAGAATAACCCTGATTGTGAGATGGATACGGTGCACAGGAAGAAAAGTGACACTGAGGGATTTGCAGACACACGCTGTATAAAATGTTGGCAGGAATAGGATTGTCTGACTCGAAGCCATGATCTATTACACCAAGTGGCTTTAAATGCAAGTTCCAGGTGAGGATTAAACTTCCTACCACCTGGGTATCCTTCCCTCCCGCGCTGACTGACGCGTAGAAAGCCCATCCTCCCCTGCCCAGAGGATGCCCTGACTCTGGCGAACCTCTGCTGATCCCCCTGCCCCCGTCTGCCTCAAAGACTGCAGGAAGCTCTTAGTAACTTCTTGTTTTTCAATACATGTTGATGGGAAGAAGGGAGACAGAAACCTAAATGAGGTGGGTACTGGTTTCAGGACCACTTTGTGGCCTTTGGTCAAGCCATTGAATTTCTTCATTAGGCCTCTGTTCCTCCATATATTAAATAGTGAAACCATTTCCATCAACGAGGAGAATATAAGTGATGACCTGTGAAAGTCTTTTGAAGATAAAAAAGTTCTACAGTGCTAATTATGAAATAATAACTTATAAGCTAATAAACGCATTGCCTGGCATGTGATAGCTGTGCAATAACCCCCAAATTCATTGAACATCTCTGGCACAGAGGAGCAGAAAAAAGGAAAAACTTTTTCTGGAGATGTCTAAAGATGAAAGAAAAAGCATTGGCTAAATTTGTGGTTTGAGGAGGATATTTGGCTTTTCCTGGTATCTGTCAGATGGAGGAGCAGCTCCCTCTCTATCCCCAGCCTGAACTTTCTTTGTAATCTCGACCTCTTTCCATTAACTATACCAATTAATTCCACTGTTCTAGACTTTCTATAAAAGTTTATCCTTTCAAAATGCTCTGATACTGGCTGGGAACAGTGGTTCATGCCTGTAATTCTAGTACTCTGGGAGGCTGAGGTGGGTGGATTGCTTGAGCTCAAGAGCTCTAGAACAGCCTGAGCAAAATGGAGACCCATCTCTACTAAAAATAGAAAAACTGGCTTGGCACCTGTGGCTCAAGTGGCTAAGGCACCAGCCACATATACCTAAGGTGGCGGGTTCAAATCCAGCCCGGCCCGCCAAACAACAATGACGTCTGCAACCAAGAAATGGCCAGGTGGTATGGCAGGCGCCTGTGGTCCTAGCTACTTGGGAGGCTGAGGCAGGAGACTCGCTTGAGCCCAGGAGTTGGAGGTTGCTATGAGTTGTGGTGCCATGGCACTCTATTCAGGGGGATAGCTTGAGGCTCTGTCTCAAAAAAAAAAACAAAAAAAAAAAAGAAAAACTAGCTCGGTGCCCTGTGCTCAGTGGCTAGGACTACGGCCATATACACCAGGGCTGGTGGGTTCGAACCCCACCCCAGCCTGCCAAACAATGACAGCTACAATAAAAAAACCCCCCAAAATAGCTGGGCATTGTGGCAGGCGCCTGTAGTCCTAGTTACTAAGGAGGCTAAGGCAAGAGAATCACTTGAGCCCAAGAGATTGAGGTTGCTGTGAGCTGTGATGCCATGGCACTCTACCGAGGGTGACATAGTGAGACTGTGTCCCAAAGTAAATAAATAAATAAAAATAGAACAATTGGGGCAAGAGATTGCTTGAGCCCAAGTTGGGGGTTGCTGTGAACTACAACACCACGGCATTCTACCTAGGGCGACAGCTTGAGACTCTTTCTCCAAAAAAAAAAAAAAAAAAAAAAAAGAAAAAAAGCTCTGATAGGTTATTTCTTTATGGCTACCTTGTGAGATATATAAAATAAGTACTAATATTTCCACTTGGAAAATGAGGAAACAGGGCATGGCAAATCAAATGACTTGCCATACAAGTTACTGGCTCAGTGGATTAGAAACCAGGTTTTCCAACTCAAGTCTCAAACTGTTTAGGCTTTGTACACACACACACACACATATATCACTTTTCCCCCAAACCATCATCTTATCCTTTTCCTACAATCTCTATTTCCTACATACCCTCTGCCCCCATTTCAAAATTGCTGAAAAAAGAATAAGAGAATCCAAGATATCTTCATATGAGAGGAAGCAAAATGTCTCAAAGTACAGGTGAAGAAACATGATCTTTTGAGGGCTTGCTGGCCAGGTAGATAGGAGTGGTTTGGATTTATAAATGTAGTTTAAATAGATTCTCAGCTGCCCAAGCATGAAGGCTTACGCCTTCATAACTAGCACTTTGGGCCAACGCAGAAGGATCAAGGCTGGAGGATTGCTTGATGCCAGGAGTTTGAGACCAGCCTGGGGAACAGAGACAGCCTCAAGATCCTGTCTCTACAAAAGAAAATAGATTCTGGGCTATGGGAAAAAAGTAATTCATCATTTGCCCTATTTTATTTCCCAGTTTTTATCAATCAACAAATATTTGAGGGGCCCCCATATGCAAGGTACTGGGCTCCTTGTGCACTGCATCAGATAGGAACTAGAGCTTTGTGAAACATCAGGCAGAGGAACTGATAAAAAATAAAAGCCCTCCAAAGTAATTTTCAGATTCCAGAGCAGATGCATGTGGGCTGCAGAACCTTCCCTGCCTATCTGCTCCTTAAGATGTTACATAAATCTCTGGCATCCTCTCTCTCTCTGTACTGCATCATCCGATGGCCCTGCCCTTGCCTTCCTTCACCTTTTGTCTCTTTGTCATTATTCACCCCTCATTCCTCTTCTCCTGACTTGTTCTTCAAGCTGATTTCTCTCTCATTAGGTGAACTTCATGGCACCTGAATTGGGATTCATGTGGGTCTGTTTTCCACCAATGCTTAAGTGAGAAATCCTGAGTAAGAACTGATGGGTTTCTTTACGCATTTTTATAGCACTGTCTCCTAAGTGAGCTTGACACTACCACACACACAAACCGCAAAAATAACTCTCAAGCCAACTGATGTCTTTGGTGGAGATAAGATACTGGGAGCACTTCTTGATGGGGTTACTTCCCTAACTACATCAGTGGCAGTACCTGTACTCTTCAACTGAAGAAAGAAGGGAGCTATCAGAGATGATAATTTGGGGATGGCTGCTTGCATGTGTACTGGGTGGAAACTGTTATTCAAACAGTTGATTAAAAACAAATATCCTTGGCTTTTGTAAATAGGACATAGAGGTTTTGATAGGGCATTTCAGTCTGTGGGGGAGATTATTAAAAGTATACAAGATCCTAATTAAAACGATGTTTTTAAAGGGAAAAAATAAAAGGCCAGTAATAATGAAATCAGCTCTGTGAATTGTACATTGAAGTATGAATCTTTGAAGAAATGCTAATTCTGGTACCAAACATCCTAAGAGTAGGGCTCATTTCTTAGACTTCCTGATACTGTTAGCTGAGTAAGCACAATGGAAATAGGTAAATAAAGAGAATGATGTAAGAAAGGTCTCTGTTCTTGTTCTTTTTATCCTTTTAATCCATAGAGTTAGCCTTCCAATAGGAAGGGAAGCCCAGGTGAGTTTTATTTAAAAAGACGATATATATACATATATATATATAGACTATATAACGTATATAATATATTATTATTATATATTATATTAACTATAATTAAAATGCTGCCTACCCAAGTGTAGGCTGTCTTAAATACTTACCAAAAGAAGAGTTAAAAAAGTGTACCCAAAGCGACCCACAAAAGCCCCCCCCCCAAAAAAAAAGATGGTGGGGAAGAACTTGGGTCTTAGCTATAATATGGCTCAAAGCCTCAGGGCTGCACATGAGTGTGTAAAAAAACAACAGCTGAGAGCTGGGAAGAGTGGAGAAAAGGGAGATGCACAGAATGATTTCAGCTTTTCCCTTGTTTCTTGAAGTGCCTTATTAGTGCAATGGCAGTGTTGACAAGAATCTAATCATTTTGCATAGTGATACTGTATCCCCAACTTGGAGACAGGAATTAATCTTTACTATTATTGGTCAAAATTTGTTGACTGATAACTATGCACCAGACAATGTCTTAAACACTTTACGTGTATTATCTCATTTCATGTAATCCTTACAATCCTATGAGGAGAGTACTATTTTATAGATGAGGAAGCTTAGCCACAAAGAGACTGGATAATACTCCTAAACCACATAAATATGACATAGATTTGACCCTCCGCTGTCTGACACTAGACACAGAGAACCAGGGAGGGCTCATGGTGTGGTATTTTGCTATTTTGATTTGAGAATGCTTGGATGGTGCCTGTGGCTCAAGGAGTAGGGTGCCAGCCCCATATACCAGAGGTGGTGGGTTCTAAACCCAGCCCTGGCTAAAAATTGTAAAAAAAAAAAAAGAGAGAGAATGCTTTAATTTTCTGGTATTAATGATGCCATCTTTTTCTATTGCTTTCAAAAGAGTTGGGCGGTGCCTGTAGCTCAGTGGGTAGGGCACTGGGTACATACACCGAGGATGGTGGGTTCGAACGTGGCCTGGGCCAGCT